CTTACGATCACACCTTCTCTTCTCTGTGGATTGAGAAATATTTTCAACTCTTCTCTGAAATGTCGACTTTGATGGATGGGGTCGATGGGTTAGTCGGTGTAGTGAAAGCAACGGATCAGGAATTTGGTACTTTGTCGGCTTCTTCTTCTTCGATCGGGAAGAACAGTGCGGATGAAGAAGGCGGAGAGAATGAGGCCGAGTCTCCTTACAAGGGACCTCTTGATATGATGGATTCTCTCGAACAAGCTTTGCCCATCGGGTCTGCTTTTTTCTTTCATTATTTATGTGTGGATTCTATAGTGTGTAAATCTCGGATCTTGAAGTTTGTAGTCTCTTGATTTGTGAATACGCAGGAGAGGTATATCCAACTTCTACAAGGGGAAATCAAAGTCGTTTAGCAACTTGAAGGAAACTGAAGCAACACAAATGAAAAATTTGGGGAAGCCACGGAACCCTTACAGTAGCCGACGGAAGAACCTCCGCAGTCACCGGATTCGCATTCGCGGTGGGATTTCCAAAAACCCACTCAAGACCGCTTTCACGTTGACTTTGACCAAAGATTCTTCCTCCGCCGACGATGATGACTCGTCTTCCGAGTCCCAAAAACATGGCAAGCCATTGCACCCCAGACATACCAATGGGTCTTGTGTCCCCGTTATAGATTCTCCCTCCGCGCATAAAAATACACATAATATTATATGTTAGAATTTCACATCCATTTCTCTTGTTAGAATTTTGTTATTTAAGAATTTTTCGGCCGAGTTTATTATTTTCCTGAATTTTGAAAGAGATAGCCTTTTCATATGAACTTTTCCTATCGTTTTTTGTCCTATTTGAATTAAGAAGTATCGTTTGAATGACCAACAAATCATTTATATTCATGTAGTCAACATGATTAAAAAGTTGAACATATCTTTCATCCAACCGTGCGCTAACGGCTTCGACTTTTTACAAGTCATCATCTGCCACATGCTTTTCTTTTCACTGAATGATATTAATAAATAATAAATATCAAAGTTCAATATACAATATTAGCCAAGGATCAGAGGAAATTATATAATCTAGGGGACGGTAAGGCTATATACAAAATTTTAGTGACCAACAACACCTTCAGAAAACCAACAGATTCTCTAGTCAAAAAGGATATATATAGCCCAATACTACATATAAATGATTGTCGATAATCTTCTTTAGTTACAGATGACTTGTAAAAAGCCGAAGCCGTTAATATATAGTTTATAAGTATGTCTAATAGTTTATTTCATTGATTCTTTCTAGTGGCTAATAGTTTATATGTCACACACCATCTACTTACTACTACAGGTTTTACAAGGATGAAACGTTTTTTTGTGTGTGGTTATCTTCATCCTCGTAAACAAATTATCTTTCCACTATTTTTTATCATTTTTTTTTCAACAAAATACATATTATCATTTCAATAATAATATTAAGCGTTACATATCTTAGTTAGCAAATATTTATTACTAAAATAATCTTTTTTGTCTTTTTGTTGTATTAGAACAGGTAAATACTCGTGCATGCTGTTACGGTTAAACTATGCATTTTATTCTCGTGATCGCGGAAAACAATCATCGTTATATTCCATATCATCTTTTGTAAATAGCTAA